CCCCAAAACCCCAAAACCCCAAAACCCCAAAACCCCAAAACCCCAATCTTACAAAATTTTATTGAAATGGGTTATATTATTTTATACGAATATTTCTTAATATGTCAAACTTTGAGAATGAGCCAAATGCATCAGGAAGCCCCCAAGATCAAAGAAACTTTCAACATTTTGAAAAGGAAATTCAGGAAGATCATCCTGAGCAGAATCGGCAGATTTCCTCCCAGCTGGATTACTTCCACAGTCATTCTTGACAAGGTCTGAGTCCCCAGGTAGCAGATAAAGTTGCTAAGGCGAGGAGCGTTTACAAAACACCGAAGAAGAATAGGAACCAAGGGTTCTTCTTGTCGAATGGTCAGAGACCTTTCACCGCTCGGGTTAATAAACTTCATAAAAAGAAGAAGCAACATTTTTCTTCTGAACAGCGTAAAATGAATATTCTGAAAATAGTAAAATAAGCAAACTAATCTGGCAATAATCAGAGAGAGTATTGAAAAAGAATCCCAAGGAATAACCTCGAATGAAGTTAATACCATCATGAAACCTTCCCGGACGTCGAATCTACCAAACAAGAGGAAGAAGAGAGCACAGTCTCAAGGCAAACCTTCCTTATGAGGAAGGGATTTTGAAGGGCTATATCTTCAGAGCTCAGAAAATTATTTGAACAATGATATGCATTTCCTTTACCAAGGTGGGACACCTATCAATATGCCTGAAGAGAAGAATAATTGTAAACCCCTTCCTTTGGCAGTGGCGAAAATTAATTTCCAATCTGAAATAAAACCTACCAAGTCTCAACGTGGTTTTTACGATTCTAAATACTGATCTGTTAATAGTAGAATTGATCATAAGCAAGAGAGTAAGAAGTAAGCCCGCCTAATAATCGCTTAGGAAGAAGTGCTCAATCATAAATTGTACTCCATTTAAAGGAAAATCAATCAAAAAGAGAGTAGGAACAGCTATTTCGCCTCATACAGGTAGGTATCTTTCAGGAAGTTACTCGCGGTCCAATAAGGATTTATTAAGGAAGGAGCTGTTTCAAGTTTCAAATAATGCACCAGAGTTTTAACATATTCCTTTAGACACTAAACCATTCCTAAAACGTATTGCATCAAACTCTAAGCCGTATGTTGATAAGCGGAATTATGGCCGGACTCTTTTGCCGAATAAAAGTAATATACCGTCTCTGACCAGAAAGTTATGTACGAATAGTAAGAGCTTATTCACGAAAGACCAACTCTCAGACCTAATAAACAAAAGAAGGGTAGAGAAAGTATTTGAATCCATTCCTCCCTGTAAAACCCTGTTTCCGAAGAGATCAAAATCAAAGAGATCCCTGAAGTCTATTAGAAGAAAGATAAGCCAGTTTATTAAGTCTGATAGTTTGTTGACTCCTCTGAAAAATGATTATATTACTAAGAATTTACCCAGTAGGGCTACCCTGATGAGCTCTATGAAAGCAGATAATCAGTCATTTAAACTTTCTCAGAACAGGATCAACTTGCAGATTGCGGCCAGTAATGTCACTGAAGATCAGAACTTTCATGGTTAGCTCTCATTCTTTTGAATGGATAGTTTCTTATTCTATTTGAGAAGTTTATTTGGGGTTTTGGGGTTTTGGGGTTTTGGGGTTTTGGGGTTTTGGGGTTTTGGGG